CAGCTCAATACGTTTGGAGGTTTTCTGGATGAAGGGGAAAATAGCATTATAAATAGCGTCATGTGTAATTTGTGCCGCTTTGTTTTCGACTTCTGGGAACCAAAAAATGATATCACTTTTTCTTCGAGAACAATTTAATATTTATAGCGCATAAGCGTTTCAGTAAACAAAAAAACAATTCCTGATTTCCAGTTTTAAATTAACAATAACCTATGCGGTAAAAAAAGATCACTTCCCGGATCGAAAGCCATATCAGCGACGAAGCAAAAGTACCAGAAATGAAGTCAGCGTTCTGATTTGAGAAGGTTGTCTTCCGCTACGTACAACACCTGCCGGCTGTACACGTTGGAATTAACTCTCAAATCTCTTCGTGTTTCGACTTATGAACTGAAAATCTCATTTATTGTTCATATATATAGATTACATGAGAATCTCACATTTTATTCACTTATGTACAAATAATTTACAGATTACATACATGTAACCATTACAGAAACGCAATTTTTTCCCTCGAAAAAATACGAATCCTCTCGTAAAGCTTTTGAATGATTACTTGTGCAACTTCTACATAGCACTTGTATTTTTAAATTTCTGTGCCAAGCACAAAATCAGACTGCTAAAGTAAATGATTCTGTTACTATCCGAGCGTGTGTTTAGTCTTGAAGATGACTATTAATTTTTTCTCTAATTTCAGCTAATTTATGATAAAAAATCTCGATTCACAATCATAGGCCAGAGAACAGAAAAGCCAGAAAGCTGATTTAAATTTTCAGACGGCGTTTCAATCGATAAATTATTCGATTTTTAGGATGCAAAGTTTTGCGCTTTTTCAGATTGTACAGGCAGTGATATGATTCAGTCCAAAAATGAAAAGTCAGTTGCATTTGAAACAGTAAACCATATCAATGGAAAAAAGAACTTTGATCCAGTGACGCATACGGAATCCAGGAGAGGCGAATTTCTGTAACAGTGACACGCCATCAAAGTGAGGCTTCTGCCCAAAATTGTCTTACCCTATATTAATCAGAAACATTTTTGTACCACGTTTGTGCCACATTTTCTCAAAGATTTAATCTTCATGTTTTTAGCGCAATGTGTTTTTTTAACTTTCTTCTTGAAGTAGGTAAGTTACCTTATCGGGTCTAGGAGTAGCAACGTTCGGGACATACCGACGATCCAACCAGTCCAAGTAAGTGTTTGGCTTTTTGCAAGCTGTTTTTTCAACTTCTACATAAAATTTTGTTTTTTTAACTTAATTTGTGCACTTGATAAATTAATTTCCCCACATCTTTTCTATCAGATTTATTGCGAAACAGTGACAGACTACAGGCGGACTAATGAGATTATCAGCTAGTACCCATGCAGTGTTAAAAGAGTACAGGGAAAATCGCCAAATGACTGAATGATCCATTTTAAGGACTGCTTGGAACTGTGTGAGTAAGAAGATACCAAAATAGAAAGGGATGGAAAAGTTGTTAGTTTAATCGATTGCGTAAGGAAACAGACAATGAAACAACTGTTGATTAAAGTATTAAAATATTTCTTGAGGAAAGACGGATAACCTTCCTCCGTTTTGGCCTTTTTTGCTGTGACAGTGGAAAGTGAAGCATTGTTCACAGCAGTTATCATTGGTAAGATGATTCTTTGGCCCTACTGTAGTAATGAACAGGAATGTATATGACTTAGTGGACCTAAATATTCTTATTCATCTGATTTTTTTAATATAAATTGCATTTTATACATATTATCACTAAAATTTTCATTACGATTATACATGCTTTAGCACTTCTCTTTATTGTTCAAGAATAACTTCTCGAGTTGTGCTCAGACGTAATTTGTATGTGTGTTTAGAATAAAAGCCGTATGCAGGAGTGCAGGAGGAGAATGTAGCCTCAATCCGGGTTGCTAGATGATATTGCCATATAATAGTGCGGCGCAACAACATATGAGCGTTGATCGTTCAAATAGTCATTAATTTCGTTTAAAACAGAACACACTTATCGACCCTCCTAATGCAGATAAGGAATTTTTCATACTAATGGAAAAAAGAATAACAAGAATCGGAAATATGCATTCTTTGTGGAAACGAAGCTTTGCACGCGGAATGTTTTACCGCGTAGTATTTGCGAAGGAAAAAACGAAATTTGAATTCCTTTATTTGCGGTTTATTGAAGCGTGGCTTCAATAATTTAGCATTTTCATATTTGCATGCGGGAAAAGACTTCTGAATAGATGATTTAGATGTATCTCATCGGCACGTAGGAAGCACCCCTGCCTTTCCAATTGCCATACCAATATCTTGATCATGTTTTGGGGATAACATT